GTATCACTTGCAGAATTTATATAATTAGATTTTCTTTTATATCCAGGCTTACCGCCTATTTTTATTAAAATTTTTAGTCCACTCACATTGAAAATTATTATTAATATAATTGAACTTAGGTCTGCCATTTTACTTTTTGTCTTCCATATTGCCCATGATTTTTTGTTTCTCTGTTCCTTCTCTACTGTCTTCATTTTAATATTTTCAGTATATTTTCGAGGCATTTTCTTAGTGGTTGCTATAAGGCTTAGAGTGTGCATCTTAACTTTTCAAAATCTAATTCAGGTCTATACTTATTTAATTACAGTAAGATATGGGGACTTTATTCCTACATAGCTCTACTTCCTCCTTCTCCATTTTTATGCTGTTAATGTTATACATATTATATCTATTTAAGTTACCTACCCCAAAAGGTATTGTATAATTATTGATTAATATAATTTTATACAGTTTTTAAAAGCTGGGAAAATAAAAAGGAGCAAGTGTATATTTTTACTTTTTATATTTAGTATCTTGTTTATCATTTCTGGTTTTCTTCATTTCTTCCTGTGGATTCACATTATCATGTGATGTTATTTCCTTCAATATAGCTTTGGTCTCATCTTCCTCTTTAATGTTGTTTGTCAAATTACCTTTCTAAATAACATTTCTATATGTTACAGACTCCACAATACAATTCTATAACTACTGCTTATGCAATTGATTTTTTAAAACCATTTAAGAGAAGACAGGAGTAGAAACATGAAATTTTACTCTCTTATATTTTCTACACAATTACCTATCATGGTGCTCTTTTTATTTCATGTATATTTGAATAGCTGTGTGTTGTCATTTGCTTTCAGCCCAAATAACTCCTTTTAGTGTTTCTTGTAGTACATGTTTGCAAGCAATAAATTCTCTCAATGTTTGTGTGCTATGGACTGAATTGTGTAGTCTCAAAATTCATATGTTGAAGTTCTAACCCCCAATGTGATGGTATTTAAAGGTGGGGTCTTTGGAAGGAGTTAGATTTAGATGAAGTCATGAAGAGGGTTTTTCAGGATGACATTAGTGCTCATAATAAGAGGAGGAAAGAGAAATTAGTTCTTATATCCCAGGAACCTAGAAGAGATGGGAACTTTCACTTCACTACCAAGTCCAATAGAATAGGTTTCCCAAAACACTATGCTGTATGGGAAAGGAGGTCTGCATACTTTACCAGCTGCCCTGTCCAGACACACCCAGTGTAGCAGAACTTTAGGGTGGAGAAATGGGAGCTACTTGGCTGCTTCCACTCAATAGGTAGATGGCTTCTGTAGAACAGAGTGGGGAAAATTGTGATCTGCTGATGTTCACCAGCTGCTCAAATAACTGATAATAGCTCTTCTACTCCAGGGACCTGGGGAAATGGGGACTTCCATTCAGCTGACAAGCCTGCTAAAACAATTTTTCACAATGCAGAGTTTTGGGGGCATAGGTGTGATGCCTAGCTTGAATGTCACAGCCTCCCACTCATCTTACTAAGTTTCTGTAGATTTATTTTTTTTAAATGTTTCTCAATTGGTTGTAGGCCCTTTAATCAAGCTCCAGAGATTTCAAATTTTTGTCTATGCTAACTTTGTTAAGTCTAACAGACACATCCCTGGGAAGAAGTTTCCCTGATATCATAGCACTGCTACCATTCCAGAAATCTGTAAAGGTTTTGTTACTTTTGATTAATGTACTCTTATTTGACATAGTAGGTAAAGTGTCATACAGATGAAAACAATTCAAATTATTTTGAAGAAAATTAAAACATTGCCTTAAAAATTACAAATCATGCTTTTTTACTCACAAATAATAAAGCTATGATCAAATTAAATAAATCTCCAACTCTGTAAGTAGAATTTAGCATGTACTAGAAAATGAAGATAACTCACTAAATAAAATAAAAAAGGCTTTTGACAATAAAAATAAATGAGTAGTGCAAGAATAACTTTGATATAGATATTTAACACACATAAACACATACATACACACACACAGGATTCTATGGTCAAATCAGTGGGAAACTCTGGGTTTAAAAAATTGTAGAGATACTTTTTAAAAAAACCTACAGATTACCTCAGTCTTAATATGCTAACGTGTAATGCTGAATCTCCAAGAGGATGGTACAGTATGCATCTTGTCCCAAATTTTTGTGACCAAATTTGCTTTCATTTGTTTTGTTTGTGTTTTTGTTTACTTGCTAGCTTACTTGTTTTTCATTGAACATTTCTCAAGATTTGTGTTGTTGAGAATACCTTTTGGAAAACACTGATTTAATATATTACCCTTTAAACCAAGAAATTCACCTGGTTCTTTCCAATACCTAGTTGACATTTTAATCTGGGAACTATGGCATTTTCTATAGAGCACATGATTACCTAACTCTATATATCTAGAGTATATATATAAACATTTGGAGTAGCTTAGGGTGTTGCTAACATGTGAGCTGTGGAAAGGATTTATGGAGAAAGTTAAAAGTTTCCAGTACGGATTTCATAATGTCAAATACTAAAAATACACAGTGATAACTGAGCCCTAAACCCCATTGTTGAATAAAGTAAACTATTGAAATTGTCAGCTAAGATGCAAGCCCGGTCATTCTGAAGATTAACATAATATCACAGAAGGGTTTAACCCCCTATGGGACCGCAGTATACCATTTCCTGAACTAATATACTTACTCTATGATATTTTAAAACTTCATATTCTCAAAATATTTTGAAGATATGAAATAAATTTCTATTTCTTCCCAATATTTGAGAGTAAATTTTCTTAGATGGAGAACATGGATTTTAACAATCAAAGAAACAACATAATTTCAAATCCTTACTCTATACTTACCAGTAGTTGTTACCATTGACAAATTGTTTACCTTACTTAAACCTCAGTTTCCTCATATATAAAGTGGAAATAATAATACTTATTTAGGATTGCTTGGACATTTAAAGATAGTCTACGAAATTTCAAATGCTTGGCACAAAACTAAACTACCATTTATTAGCCCCAGCTTTTCAGCCCCCT